GTCGGGTACTTTCTCCTGCGAGAGTTGCAGCGACGCGGCCAGGCACGCTTGGACTTTGTGGCCTCAGAGGCCAACATTGCAGACATCTTCACCAAGGCTCTTCCGCCTGGTGACCACCACAGAACTATGGTGGTTGCTGTAGGTCTTGTTGACGTAGGCCCTCGGTTGATGTAGTTTTGCCTTTTGTATGTTACTCAGTTTGTCCTTGCTTATATATATACTTGTGTACTCTTGAACTGGCCTCGTGGCCGCTTTCTTGTGCTCGGACTGTGTGGTGACTTCGTGATCCACCCTGAGCTTTGTGTTGTTGTTTCGCTTGACTGGTCTTGTGACCTTTTGGCTGCTTTGCTTGTTTTGATGCCCCTCACTTAGCCTAAAGGGGTGTGTCAAACTATATATATGCACATAATAGTGTTAAGTTTGTTAGACTGTAGTGAGGTGCATGATATAGGGTATAGGTATCTCTCGACATTTGTACTTGTACCTTCTCCCCACTAATCTATGCCATCATTATCTCGCTATCCCTACTAAGGTAGTTAGATTCTAAGAAAAGGGTGCACAATCATTACAGTTAGCTTAGCGCTCGTCAAAATATATTCTTCCTGAGCATGTGTTATTTTTTACCTCAGAAGTCTTCTAGTATAAACATGTATGCATTTTATTACAACAAAAATGTGTTTTTTTTATGTCGTACTACGTACAGTATGGATTCGAAGTTGTTGTTGTTGTTGTTGTTGTTTTTTTTTTTTTTTTTTTTTTTTTTTTTTTTGGGTTGCGAAGCAACCCTTTACGATCGATTTGGCCAAATTTTATTTTCATATTTATTTATATAAAACATGAAAATAAAATTTGTAAACTACAGTAATACCTTCCCATACAGTGTACATGTTGAGCAGTTTGAATGTTTTCGCTGTATATTAAACCATAAGATTCGTTTGTAATGGTTTTGTATAAATATGTTGTACTATTTGCATTATATGTTTTACTATTAGATGCTATTGTGGTAATGTTAAATAGATGCATGATGCATAAATGATGCTATAGGATGCATAATGTTTAATATCATATGCCATGATGCACATGCACATAATAAAATGCGTGACAATTACCGACCAAAAAACAAAGCTACCGCCATCCCCTGCCTAGAATGGGGGGGAGGTAAATAGCTTAGCTTTTGAATAATCAACTCTCACATGAAACACCACAATCTATAAATTTTAAAAAAATGGTCAACCCTATCAAATCCTGTTCGAAGTGGTCGCACACGAGTCATCATGTGCGCCAATGAAGATTTTGTGAAATGATAGACCTGAGCCATATTATTAAATTTCACAGACATGCGTTGTTGATGCAATGATGAATATAATCAGATACATATGCATGCACACAATCACATACGCACATACACGAATGCAAACTAACAGTTAAAGAACCATATTCAAATGCACAAACAAAAGGGACAATTAGAGCGTGTTCCTACGGCCTCATATCAGGCAACCTCATATCAGATTCGCGTCGAACCGCACTAAAATGCATCCAACCGCAGTCAAACACACTGAAACGTATTTCACCACGCGAAGCTGATACGAGGTGTGTCTGATACGAGGTGTAGGAACACGCTCTTAGGAAAAACAATTAAAACAGAAGATGCAAAGTCTTAAGAACCAACTTACATAGTTAAAGAAAATGGATGATTAGGGTAAAGGTGGAGGGGTACAAGAAGATTATTGAGAGAGTTTGTGTACCCCCTAGAATGCAACTCACTACAGCCTATCTAAACTATGTAACATAGTTTGACACACCCCTATAGGCTGAGTGAGGGGCATCAAAGCAAGGCCAGCAAACAAATGGTCACAAGACCAGTCAAGAAAACAAAGTTCAGGGTGGATCACAATGTCACCACACAGTCTGAGCATAAGCAAGTGGCCACAAGGCCAATTCAAGAGTAGACATATATATATACATATATAGGCAAGTACAAACAGAGTAACAAACAAAAGGCAAAACTACAGCAACCGAGGGCCTGCGTAAAAAAGGCCTAACTGCAGACAGAACCTGTGGCGGTCACCAGGCGGAAGAGTCTTGGTGAAGATGTCTACAGTGTTGGCCTCTGACTCCACGAAGTCCAAACGTGCCTGGCCGCGTCGCTGCAACTCTAGCACGAGAAAGTACATGACGTCGATATGCTTCACTCTGCTCTCCAGTCGAGGCTCTCGACACAGGAGGATCATGGCCTTGTTGTCAGCGAACAAGGTCAGTGCTGAGCTCGACCGCTCACCAAGGTCGGTGAGCAAGAAAGTCAACCAACGAAGCTTTCGCGCAGTCATAGCACCGACGTAGATCTCTGCCTCAGCATTAGACGAAGCCACAGACGACGACCGCGTGGACCTCCACGACACAGATCCAGTGCCCAAGCTGAAGCATTAACCCTGAGTAGACCGCTGAGTCTCCGCGTCGTCGGCGTAGTAAGAGTTGCAGTGACCGGTCAGCACAACTGGCTGTGTCCCTCCAAGCACAATCCCCATGCCTGATGTAGTCGCCTGTACTGCTCCTGGCCTTGTGCCTACGCTGCCTCACTTGTTTACCTCTTGAGCCCGTCTTGTACTTGCTGTACCCTGCTATATATATTTATACCTGCATGTGTACAATTTCTAGGTTGTGATCAGTGTACTCCTATAGTTGTTTACTGTATATGAACTGGCCTTGTGGCTGCTTGCTTGTGCCCAGACTGTGTGGTGATCTTGAAATCCACCTTGAGCTTTGCTTTGTTGCTTCTCTTGACTGGTCTTGTGATTATTTGTTGTCCCTCACTTAGCCTATGGGGGTGTGTCAAAATATGTATTTGTATGCTAGACTATAGTGAGGCGCTGCGTAGGGAGGATAACACCTTAAGGTTTGTATTTGTACCCATCTTCCCTGCTATCATTCCGTTGTCCTCAAGTTCTTAACATATATAAGCACATGCGCTAATAGAATTTACTCAATTAGAAGCGCACCCCTATAAAAAACCCGTTTTATTATAAGCGCACCTGCACTTATATCAGGGGTTATACGGTACTCCTTTTTGCTAGAGCTGCAGCGATTCGATCAGGCACGCCTGGTCTTTGTGGGCGGCCAACACCGCGGACATCGCCACAAAGGCCTTCCGCCTGGTGGTCATCCCAGCTTGGCATTGTTCAGACATGTCCTCGTTTGTTGTAGGCTTGCCCTGTTTGTCCTGTTGTATATATATACACACACAATTGGACTAGCCTTGTAACCATTTGTCTCATAGGCTAGACCAGTTGTGTCGCATCTCTTGCTTTGTTGTTTTGGTTGATTAGTATTTTGACCATTGTTTCAGTGGTTGGACTAGTTGTGCCGCCCTGGGTTGCTGTTTGTCCTACTCATGCGATGCCCCTCACTTAGCCTATTGGTGTGTGAAATGTTAATCTTGCATGTTAGGTAATAGTGAGGAACAACTTAGGGAATACAATCGGTTTATGGTTTCATATTTGTATCTCATGCTTCCTAGTCATCATTATTCTACTATGCTATTCCGACAAGAGGCGCACGCGCTCAGGCAAGAAGGCGCCTTGCCAATAGCCTGTGACAGTTGTGCCGTATGAGCATTCTAGTGGGGAAGGGAGTATATTAGGGAGCCTAAAACTTTATGCATTCGTTATTTATCGAGAGGTATGTTTTCAAGTGACACTCTTTATTACTTTCAGTCACTTTAGAGCACAGGACCAGGGCCCTTGCCATCCTGTATTTTCAGGGCTTTAGCAGAAATACATCCTGACATTTCAGGGCAAAAAAACCATCAATAAGGGTCCTGTTTGAAGTATTTACTTATAGCTAAGCCTATGTAATTTTGTAGTACTACTACAACTTGTAGTAGTAGCTAGCTAGCTAAACCTACTAGCTAGATAGCTAACAGGTTGCACATCATATAACAAAGCAAAGCAGGAGCAGCAATGGATAATGTCCATTGTCCTGGCTGGCCTGCCTGCCGCCTGCCTGCCAGGATAGTACCATACCATACCATACCATACCAGAGCAGAATCCACCACACCACACTGACCAACCTCCAAGTCAGAACAATTCTACTTAATTAATACTTATACTTTTAGGCCTCCTCATTATCGTCATCCGAGCTGCTGCTAAACCCACTACTGTTGCTCCTGCTGCCATTTTCAGTGTCTGCTTCACCGTCCTCCTCATCATCTTTATCCTTCCCCCGTGCACTCGGTCTGTGCCTGGGCTGCTCCCTTCTCCTGATGTGCCTCCTCTTCTTGCTTCTGCGCCACAAGTCCACCACTTTACCCCACTCCATGTCATAATCAACCAGGCTCAGACACATCAAGTCACTGAGCTTGGCATTACATAGGCTGGTCCTCTGCCAAGACTTAAACCGGAGTCCCAAACAGGCCAAAACTAGATACTGACTCAAACTTCCTAACTTCGAAAACCTTCGGGATTTTTTTCGCCATGCGAAATTTCTGGACGATAGCAGTGTCGATTTCGTAAACAGATTTCGCACCCATCCGAAACAATTTGCGAACGAATTTTGACGTTGCAAACCAGAGCTAGTTACACTCGCGAGCTTTCCATACTTTGTGACCTACAACCACCGATTTCGACAGCACCCTGGTTCGCGAGCCAGTCACGTTTCTTGCCCCTAGCAACCTTCCTAACTTAGAAACTCTTGGACCCCGGGTTTTAAGCCGCGCTCACACTCGATGGTGCTGAGCAGCATGACAGCCACCGCCGTCCAGAGGCGGACGAGGTTGGGGTAGCTCCACTCCCAATCCTTCGTTCGCAGCATGGCCGCGAGGCCACGTTGAAACCCCCTCTTGCCTCGAGGACTCCCTTGCAGGACAGGCACAAGTGTCCTCAGTTCTTTCTTGGCAGCTCTTTTGTCCACACCTGCCAAACAATATAGAAAAGAATCAAAGCCATTTCGGATTGGACACATGGCCAAGAATCAAAACTCACACAATAGTTTATGGTTTATAGAATTACTTACCAGGGAGAATCTCCGCTCGATTGCGGGCATGGAATAAGTCGACGAGGATCTCGAAGTTGTCACGGCACTCCTCGTCGCGTGCCTCTCTGCCTGGTGGGTAGGTGTCTGGCATGATTAGCCTGACACCGTTCAAGTTGTCCAGATCCTTGAGCCTCTTCTGGAGATGCTTGATCGTAGCCTTGGCGTGTGCACGGCAGACCTCGAGACACGACTGCAAGTCGCTCGGGGTCTTGCTGCCATACACTGCCTCCTCGTGCAGCTCGTAGCTGTGTTGCTGCGGCCGCCCCTCCCCGTCCATGCCCTCCACGATGACATTGTGGCTCTTCTTGAGCTTGGCAAGGAAGACCGAGAGGAGCTGATACTGGCCGCCACCAAAGTCATCTCCACACTCAATGTATCGCCCTCGAATGTTGATTACAGTCCGTCGCAGCAGCGACTGTACCGAGGTCATGTCGACCTGCCACAACACACAGGAGATGGGTTCAATGTGAAGCAACACACTATAAGCCACAGGGGAGGGTCAAAGAGGGGTGGCTTCTGCTGTCAGCATGGTGCCATGAGGCATGCCGCATGCGTGCAGCAGACGCATTGCCGGCTCCATCACCACTACCACCTGCGGAGGAAGGAGCGGGTGTTGGTGGAGGAGGGTAAACGAGGGGTGGCTGTTGTGAGCATGGGGCATGTTGCATACACGCAGCAGACACAGGGCCTACTCCATCACCACTGTTTCATGGGGGAAAGAGAGGGGGGGGAGGGGTGGGTTGGGGGAGGGTCAAAGAGGGTCAAACTAGCTTCAAATGTCACCTCACCTCACGCATCTGGAACTCCATGTTGAGGTTGTTGAGGAGGCCGAGCATGTCTGCCAAGTAATGTACGTACACATTGAACTTCAGGGAAGTTACAATGTGGTACATGTCTTCATCCCACTCCAGCAGCAACACGACGACGGCAGGCAGCACATGCACCAAGTGTGTGATGGCGTTGCCACGGCTGAGCCATCGCACTGCGTGTACGCCTTGCAGTTTGAGGTTAGTCTGGCAAAACGTCTCCTGCAGCACCTTGAAGGACATGTGACAGGGGTTTGACCTTCCGAGATACTCGACGAGTTCCTTTACCGTGTGGTCGACTAGGTACAGGTCAGGGATTGCAGTGGCGGTGTCTTTGGCTGCCAAAGCCTCTCTGCACCACATTGACACATGTCGTCAGTGCCCGGGATAAAACAAGATTAAACACACATACAGAATACAATAGTGTCCAGTACCACTCTCACATGTGAGCAATGCAATGGCTGGAGAAGAGGTGCGGGATCCGTAGACGCAACCGTGCCACCAGCCCGTTATTAACACCCATCGTCGCCCCAGCTCCATCCGTGCTAATCCCGGCCACCCTGTCCAGATTGATGCGCAGGGTTTCAAGATGGGTTGTCAGGAGTGAAAGCAAGGTTGCACCGTCAGCTTTCTCCACTGTTAGAAGATCGATATACTCAGTGACCACGCAGGAGTCACGGAGAAACGTGGCGAACACAATCATGTCTTTGCCATGCACACGGTCAGTACTTTCGTCACATGTCAGTCCGATAAACGGACTCGACTGCAGCTAGACGTCTTGACGACCACGAAGGTACGTTGTTGTACTGGCGATGAGCTCTTGGAATCCATATCTGCACAGTGGAGGCAATGAGTGTGTTAGCTTACAAACGCTTATTCCTAAACCATTAGTGCAACGACTGCGGTTGCACAACTTACCTGGAGTAATAGGCACCGTAGCCATTCTTGGGGAAGCCAGGAGTTTGCCGCTCAGCGAGGTGTCGAACGAGCTCGACCCACATCGCAATCGGTGCGTCCGACTTGCAGATGAAAAGTTGGGTCTCCAGCAGAGCGATGACACGTTCACGCTGGATGTCTCCAGCCTTTGGGCAGTCGGTGATGCGCTACTGCTTGGTCGCTGCTTGGTCTGTGGTGGCCTGCCTCCGAATGGAGCGTTTGTGCTTCCGTGAGCTTTGATGCGCGCGAAAGGCCTGGGTTTGTACATCGACGGCACCCTCACCAGCAGGGCCGTAGTTTGTGCCTGACATGCGTGCACCATACACAAGCTACTCACAGACGGGAATCCGAACGATGTTTGACACATCACGAGCCATGGGAAATCCGTGGACCATTCCTGTTTGTACTTCATCAGCGCCTCTTGGTACTTCTCTTCGGCCTCATCGTGCGGTTCCTCAGTAGAGGAAGATGCTGTACTAACGGCGGATGGTCCAGGAACTGCTGGTTCTACACGGATACGCGCGATAAGTTCCGAAGGACTGCCGCGTGAGAAAGAGATGCGCGACTGTTTGTACTTAGACGCTGTTAACTTAGCAGTAGCGGCCGGGCCGATGCGTGTTGCACCATGTATGATGGCATTGTTGCCGTTTGTACTAGCACGGAAAGGCGTGGCTGCACGAGTTCGAGATGGACCAGCGGCGGGTGATACTTCTCGGGAGAAGGTGGGAAAATATACGGGAAAAACATCGCGGGGGAAGTTTTGCACAAGGAAATTTTAAAAACCCCGCACCTCCCTGCACACCCCCCCCCCCTCCCACCCCCCCCCCCCCCCCCCCCCCACCCCCCTCCCGTCCCCTCAATCCTGAAAATTCTGTTAGAATAAGTAGGCAGGAATGATGGACTAGGTAGCATGCATGAGTACAAGTACCTAACCCTAAAGTGTTGTACCCCTTGTAGGCTAACCCACTATAGCCTAGAGAGAACACAAACATACAGTTTGACACACCCCCATAGGCTAAGTGGGAAAGAGCAAACACAACAGACGGTCACAAGACCAGTCAAGCAAGAGAACAAAGCAAAGCAAAGCTCAGGGTGGATCTCAAGATCACCACGCATTCTGAGCACAAGCAAGCGGCCACAAGGCCAGTTCACATGCAGAGTTATAATAGCAAGGCAGTACACTGATCACAACCTAGCAAGAGCAACCAGGCGATATATATAAGTGTACAACAAGAGCAAGTCAAGCAACGAGCAGGTGAAGCAGAGTGGGCACAAGCCCAAGAGCTGTGCAGAAACGCTGATGATCACCAGACCCAAGGGCCTTGGTGAAGACATCAGCAGTGTTGGCCCGAGAGGCCACGTAAGCAAGGCGCAGCTGACCACGCTGCTGCAGCTCACGCGCAAGGAAGTAGCGAAGAGCAATGTGCTTCGTTCTGTGCTCCAGTCTCTGCTCGCGACACAAGGCAAGCATTGCCTTGTTGTCGACGTACAGAACTGGAGGAGAACGAGGCCGCTCCCCCAAGTCGGTCAGCAGGTAGGTCAGCCAGCGTAGCTCCTGTGCTGACATGGCCCCAGCGTAGATCTCGGCCTCGCAGCTGGAGCAAAGCACAGAAGAAGAACGAGTGGACCTCCACGAGACAGAACCAGAGCCAAGACTGAAGGTGTAACCCTGTGACGAACGCTGAGTCGCCTGGTCGTCGGCCCAAGAAGCGTCAGAGTGTCGTGTGAGTACCACTGAACCCTGTCCTCCAAGCACGAGCCCCATGCCCGATGTACTGCACAAGTAACGCAGTACCCTCTTCGCAGCATCAAAGTGCACCTTTCGGTGTCTACCGGGTGCCACGTAGCGAGCCAGGAGGCTGAGAGGGTACGCGAGGTCAGGTCGTGTGCACGTCATCAGGTACATGAGGCAACCCACAAGCTCTGGGTACGGACCACTCGGCTCTACGGACTCGTCCGAAGGTGGAGCTGAGAGAGAGTGGCCGGTAGACAGAGGAGTGGGCTGTGGCGAGGACCACGAGAAGCCCAAGCGCTGAAGGACCTGGTGCACCATGTGTGACTGAGTCAGAGTGATGGTGCGCCGTGCTCTGTCCCGGGTGATCTGCAATCCAAGATAGCTCCGCAGCTCACCCATGTCAGTGCAGGTGTGTCTCTCATGCAGCTCCGCCTTCACTAGGGCCAGTGCCTCAGTGTCAGCAGTAGCAAAAACCAAGTCGTCGACGTACACGAGGATGTAGAACGGCGGCAGAGTAGTGTCGGTGCGAAGAAACAGCGACGCGTCAACAGTCGAAGGAGCAAACCCAAGAGCCGCAAGTGTCGTCCTCGGTGTGTCGTGCCACTCGCGGGGCGCCTTACGCAGGCCGTACACTGGTCGCCGTAGGCTCCACTGGGTACCCTCAGGAAACGACCCAGTAAAGCCCTCTGGACGGCGCAACCAGATGGCCTCGTGAAGGCTACCCTGTAGGAAAGCTGTCGAGAAGTCGAGGGAGTGCATCTTGTAGTCGCGCTGTGCTGCAACGTGCAGCAACACCCGAAGAGTGGTCATCTTCGGGGTAGGGGAGAAGGTCTGAAAGAAGTCGACCCCCGCACGCTCGAGCAGCGTAACGTGCCTTGTAGGCAGGCGGAGAACCCGGCGGCCGCTTCACCCTGAAAATCCACATGCCACTGACGATGTTCGCCCCAGGTGGGGGAACCTCGTCGACGTAGGTGCCTGTGGACTTCCAGGAAGCCATCTCTGCGTCCATGGCTGTCTGCCACTGAGAGGAGTACTCACCCGAAATCGCCTCTCTGTAAGAGCGCGGGGTGGGGATGTCAAGTGCATCCGGGTCTCCCTCAGGGGCAAGCAGCATGGTCGCGAGATGGGGTACAGCGGCCGCAAGGCACTCCAGCTCCTCCTGCCTGTCCTCAAGAACGTCACAGCCAAGGGCAGTCTCACCCCCGACGGACGGAGGACAGGCAGGGACAGGGTCAGAAACAAGGCCCACAATGTAGTCTAGGCGGTACACAGCAGCAAAGTCAACGAGCTCAGCGACTAAGGCAGACGCAGCAGGAGACGAGAACGAAGGGTCAGTCACCACCGTAGCAAGAAAGCGAGTAACAGTCGGACTGGACGCACGAGCAAGGTCAGACGGAGGGTCAGCAACGTCAGGAAGAGAGGACGCAGGAGGTAACGGCAGGACAACACGCTGTGGAAGAGAGGAAGGACGGAGTGTCATATCGTGAGTGCCTGGGACAGCCGGAGCACGCTGGCGACGAACACGAGGAAAACGAGTACGGACAGCGGCTCTAGGCTCGGGCTCAAGGTCAAAGCTAGACTCAGGCTCTCGACGCTCAGGGGTGGAAGCAAGAGTCTCAGGCTCTCGACGCTCAGACAGGGACTGTGTCACCGCAGTGTAAGGAGTAGGAGCAGGCAGTGGGGAGTGCAGTAGCAGCGGCGGCTGAGAATGGTCGGCCGGTGGAAACAGTAACGGAGGAGTAGTACCTGCCACAGGGAAGTCAGTAGCACCTAGCGGAAGACTGAGAAGGTGGCAAAGAGCACCAGCAGCTCCCGTACCTCCAGCACGAGCAGCTCCACCTGCACTCCCAGCAGCACCTCCAGCACCAGTAGCACCAGCACCTCCAGCACCACTAGCACCACTAGCTCCGGCAGCTCCAGCACCTCTAGCACCAGCAGTACCTCCAGCACCTCCAGTGCCAGCAGCTCCAGTAGCACCTCCAACACCTCCAGCACCAGTAGTACCACCTGCTCCGGCAGCTCCAGCACCTCCAGTACCTCCAGCTCCAGCTCCAAATCCAGCGCCTCCACCACCAGCAAAACCTCCAGCACCTCCAGTGCCAGCAGCTCCAGTAGCACCTCCAGCACCTCCAGCACCAGCAGTACCACCTGCTCCGGCAGCTCCAGCACCTCTAGTACGAGCACCTCCAGGACCAGCAGCTCCAGCACCTCCAGTACCTCCAGCTCCAGCGCCTCCAGCACCAGCAACACCAGCACCTCCAGTGCCAGCAGCTCCAGTAGCACCTCCAGCACCTCCAGCACCAGCAGTACCTCCTGCTCCGGAAGCTCCAGCACCTCTAGTACGAGCACCTCCAGGACC